ATGTATGTATGTATGTATGTATGTATGTATGTATGTATGTATGTATGGTATTCAGCTTTGTTCGGGTATTTTCCCACGTCATTATAGTTGTGCTTTTAAAGTTGTAGCAACGTTTCGGCAGAATCTCATCTGCCATCATCAGGCTTCTGTATTGTGTTCGTCTGAGAGTCAGACTTTCACAGCCGTTTCTGTTTTAAATTTGGGGCAGCCTATTGCTGTGCCAGAATGGTTTTTTCTTCATCCTGATTGGTTGGGAGTCTTGGTCTGTGTTTATTGGTCTTGGAGTTTGCTGTGTTCTGCTTGATTGGTGTTTCTAATATCTTTTGTCTGTTTTGTGGCTTTTTTTGTCTTGGTTGGCTAGCAACATTGTGTTCCTGTATTGGAGGCTTTTCGTGCGGCTTGGCTCCGAGTAAATGGACGGCTATCATTTATTAGGAAGCTAGGTTTCATCTGGGTGCCTGGTTGGGGTGTGTTTGAGCTGGAGGTATCAGGGGGGATCTGTTTGTGCCCAGGTGTTTGCCTGGCTTGTGGTGTGGAGATTTTTCTGTTTGTGAATGCAGGCTTCCAAATAATTGACATTCTGGTGGAATCATCTCTTCTATTCATGCTTTCAGGTCTTTTTTCAATCTCTATATAGTGTGTGTGTGTAAGGATAAAGATTCCCCTTGCACATATGTGCTAATCGTTTCTAGCTCTAGGGGGCAGTGCTCATCTCCGTTACAAAGCCGAAGAACCAGTGCTGTCTGAAGGCGTCTCCATGGTCATGTGGCCGGCATGACTAAACGCCGATAAGGCGCACAGAACACTTCTTTCCTTCTTCCCACCAAAGTGGTCCCTATTTTTCTACTTGCATCTTTACATGCTTTCGAACTGCTAGGTTGGCAGAAGCTGGGACAAGTAACGGGAGCTCACTCCGTTACATGGGGCCAGGGATTCAAACCACTGAATTGCTGAAGAGAGAAGCAGCCTGGAATTAAGCAGAAACTTCCTAACAGGGAGGACAATTAACCAGTGGAACAGCTCACCTCCAGAAGTCGTGGGTGCTCCATCCCAGGAGGCTTTTAAGAAGAGTCTAGAGACAGTCACCTATCTGAAATAGTATAGCTTCTCCTGCTTGAGCAGGGGCCGGACTAGAAGACCTCCAAGGTCCCTCCCAGCTCTATTCTATTCTAACATTCTAGAATATAAGGCAAATATTCTTCTGCCCTCTTCAAGGTCAGAGGGCAACAGAATATATAACGTTTTGAGCACCATGTAACTGAAGAACTATAAATAGATGTGATCCAGGTTTGCCTGATCAATAAGGTATTATTTTCAGCTTACTTCACTCTGTCTCATGCCTGACCTTTCTCCATTGCATCTAACAAGAGCTGCTCTTCTGGATACTGGTTTATCCAAAAGGCCCAAAGAATGTAGATGTTGAAATGTAGGTCAAAACCACAACTGATGCTGTTCTTCTCTTTGGATCTATCTGTTTTAGGAAAATTTTCAACAGTAGGTTCCACCCCCCCCCCCCCCCCCCCCTGTGTTGGGGAGCAAAAAAAAAAAAAAAAAGGGAGTGAAGGCCAGTTGACTGAGAATCATCAACCACCTAAAACCTGGCCTTCGTTCCCTTTTTCTTCTCTAACAACCTGGGTTCTACTTACATCCTTTTCTGCTTCCTTCAGCTCCGCTTCTTTCTCCTTCACTCTCATGACAAACATCTGCCTCATTTCTTCCTCTTTCTTCTGTAGTTCACCCAGAAATTCATTTCTCTTGGCTTCGTAGGTTTCTTGCAGGCTGGTTTCCAACACAACAACCCCCAAAGAGAACGGTTGGAAGTGATGAGAGGGAAGAAAGAAGTAAGGAAGAGAAGGGGGAAAAAAAGAAGTCAACCTTTAACACCAGGAGGGATTCTTATGAAAGACTCTCAAGTGATAAATTATAAATAAATAAAATTTCTAGGAACAGAAGGGGAACACAGCAAAGCCTCTTGTTCTCTGTTTGAGATAGTCATGGGGAAAAAAAGATTGAAGCATATAAGTAGTCTTCAAACTACAACCGTAATGGAGCCTCGTGATGATTTATCTAAAAGCAGGTTGGCCTCACATGATCCACCCAATTTTACAGCATTAAGTGAACCAATGATTTGCTGTAGGCATTGAGCGCCCAACGTGTGACCATGGGGGGAAGGGCACTGACCGCTGCAACTTCAAATTCAGATTATAAGAACACCTCCCCGCTCAAGTAGGTCTCTCAGAAGTTTCAAATAGTTGCCAAGCAACTGGTCATAAGCTGAACTCTACCCATAATCAATTTTTTAAAAGATTTTTTAAAACAAAAACAACCCTGTGAGGTAGGTTGGGCTGAGAGAGAGACAGACAGACAGACTGGCTCAGTCACCCAGTTGGGTTTCACGTCTAAGGCGGGACTAGAACTCACAGTCTCCTGGTGATTGGCCCAAAGTCGCCCAGCTGGGTTTCATGCCTAAGGCGGGACTAGAACTCACTGCATCCCAGTTTTTAGCCTGGTGTCTTAACTACTACACCAAATTAGCTTACATGATACTAAATCAGCAGCACAGAGAATTTAAACCTCTAATTTATCACCTTGATTTATTTCAATAAACCTACAATCTGCGTGGGTGCCTTCATAAATTCCGCCAAAAGTCACAGTGATTGTTAATGTGACAGGAAGGGAAAAATAATAAATTAGTTAATATATGAATTGTATTTTTTTTTAAATAAAGTTTTGTCCTGGCCTTGTTCTCTTTGCTGGAAGGCATCTCTCAGCATGCCATTTAGAAGCCAAATCAACTTGTTTTTAATTCAAATAAAAACAGTCTTGGGCGATTCTAACCGCTTCCTTAAAAACCTGGGGGAGAGGAAGGGAGGAGGATGAATTAAATAAAAATAAAAATTAAAGAAAAATAATACATGTGAATTTCTATCTTTTATCTTCACCTTATTCTGTGATGGTGAACAGGCGGCACGTAGAACCATTTATGCGGGCACATGAGCCCCAGCCAAACTTACCTGCACTGCGCATGCAATGGGCCTTCCAGAAATATTGGAAGTGCCGAAATGGGCCCATTTTTTGGCCTCCAAAGGCTGCAGAGGCTTCCCTCGAGCCCCTGAGAGGGCAAAAACAGACTCCTCTGGACTCCAGAGGCCCTCTGGAGGCTGAAAACGGGCACTTCTGGTATTTTCGGAAGGCCCATTTTTCGGCCTCGCAAAACTGCAGAGGCTTCTCTCGAGCCTCAGGGAGGCTGAAAAAGGCCTCCAACGGCCCAAAAATCAGCTGGGAGGTGTGTGCATACAGTGCAGGTAAGAAGGTACGGGGTGTGTGTGTTGCGTGCGCATGCGCAGGGGGGGCAGGGCACATCGCCTTCTGGGTGCTGGCACGTGAGCACACAATTTTCGGCATGTGAGCCCAAAAAGGTTAGCCACCACTGCCTTACCCAGTTGCCATTTGCCTAACTAGTTTCATTAATGGATACCTTCAGACTGATTCTTCTAAATAAGTACAGTAGCTGTTAAAAAGCGCTCCTTCCTATTTTAATTTGGAATAATTTGAATTCCAGTCCTGGGGCATAAATCTTAAAAGGAATAAGGAATTTGTATCTGAAGATACCCAATTATCTGAATGATTGAAGAAACATGAGACACTATGCACGTACATCTAATTGGAATCAAGCAGTTTTATCTGGAGCTGTATGTCAGCAGTTGAATCCAAGGGGATGGTATAGAATATTCCTTTGCCCAATTAAACAACATTACATCGTTTATTGTGTGGGAACTGTTCGGGGTGAGGGTGGGGGAACATGCTCATAAGAATCTGATTAAACGTGGGCCGAATCAGTGGCAGTTAAACAAGAACCAGGGTTTGGCTCTAGACTAGATCCATTAAACAGGACTTGGCAAGCTGTAATGAGGAATTGCTTCACCACATGGTTGAGGAGAAAGAAAACAAGACCAAGTAGGTGGTGAAAAGGAATTCAGAATCATCTGTCACTTGGCAAAATTAGTCAGGTTTTGTTTTGCTAGAGCAAACCAATAAAGCATCTTGTTCAAGTAGATGGTAGACTATATTTTATATGGATATTCATTCTTTGACAGTCATAATTCCTTCTTTCCTTCCTCCCTTCCTTTCCTATATTCTTCCTGTCTATTTCCTTTCTTCATTCCCATATTCTTCCTTTCTATTTCCTTCCTTCCTATATTCTTCCTGCCTTTCTTCCTCTTTCCTTCCTTCCCATATTCTTTCTGCCTTTCTCCTGCTTCCTTCCCATATTCTTCCTGTCTTTTTCTTTCCTTCCTTTCCTTTCTCTTTCCCCAGTAAGTACTCATACTATTTACATACAACTGTCCCATATAACCATGCTATTAAAAAATGCACCATATTTCTTAGACAAGTGCCTTGGCTGGCAAAGCCAATCTTAACTTGAACCCTTTCATTCATTCATATCATCCATCAAATGGAAAATATGCCTTGTGGAAAGAAAGCATGTATTCAGTGTGAACAAATATATGAACAGGGAACTGGCACTTATTCTTATTGTAAAAATTTCGTGCAGAATATCCCAAGCCATTTAACAGTAGCAGAAAGAGAAGTGTAAAATGTAGCAATGAAAACGAAAGAATATTGATGTGGGGAAAGGATAGATTAACAACCAAAAACCTCACTTCCTAGAAGATAAAATTCCATTGTGACTTCTATTGCTGCATAGAACAAGCAGGGTGGGGCAAAATTCATTCCGCCTAAATGAATACTAACTAGTTGCATTTTTAAGTTTCTGTAAGAGCATCTGAACATTAAATGATGCTTTTCTTTTCACATAGCCAGAGCATAAAATCGTAAATATACTTAATACCTGCATACTATTTTCTATACCAGCTTTTAAGCATTTCAGCTGCTTTGTGTTTTATCTAGCAATGAGCCACGGTGGTGCAGTGGTTAGAGTGCAATACTGCAAGCTACTTCTGCTGACTGCTGGCTGCCTGCAATTTGGCAGTTCGAATCTCACTAGGCTGAAGGTTGACTCAGCCTTCCCTCCTTCCAAGGTGGGTAAAATGAGGATCCAGATTGTTGAGGGCAATAGGCTGACTCTGTAAACTGTTTAGAGAGGGCTGTAAAGCACTGTAAAGCGGTATATAAGTCTAAGGGCTATCGCTAAGCCTCACTGACACCTCAAAAGTAGGAACATTAGAGGTAGTCCTCAACTTATAACTGCTGGCTTAGTAACCATTTGATGTTACAGTGCACCCCCCCGCACAAAAGGCACTTGCTATCTGGTTCCAGAGTTGTGCCCCTTCACAATCACATGATCATCTTTCAGGTGACTGCAATCCTGCGTTTTAACCACTTCACCACCAATGGCTCCCAAGACCAATGAGAGCAGTTGGATATACAGGGAGATATTGCAAGAAGCAAAATCTAAAATAGGACGATTTGTATTTTCTTAGCTGCTAGCCTGGATTGGCTCTGAAATTCTAAGATGAGAAGGTTTTGTGCACCTGCTCCCAGCAACACACCAAACTTCTTTCTGAGTTAGTTTGGAAGCTCACCTGCTCTTTACCTACCTGAATGGTTTGCTGTCAGGATCTGTGTCTTTGAATCCCATCTCTTCTAGTTTGCACCGGCGGTAGAGCTCATAATGTCGGCTATGAGTCTGCTCCCTCAGGTCTTCCATATTCACTCTGATCAGCATTTCACGCAACTTTACAAAATCACAGTGGTTCTCATTTTCAACTATTTTTTAAAAAATCAAAAAAATGTGGAAATGTAGATCAAGGATATGGCGGAAACCGGATTTCCCCTTTTTTTCTTAACACAAAAACCTAACTATTTTTCATTTAAAAAAATAAAAAAAAATATATCAGGATTTATTGCCATTATAACTCCATAATTATATAAATCGTGCAATGGCCTAGAGGTGGAGCTCTTGCCTCACAATCAGGAGGCTGTGAGTTCGATCCTAGGTAGAGGCAGATATTTCTCTCTCTGGGCACAATGAGAATGAACAAAACTCCGCACTGGCGACAGGAAGGGCATCCGGCCAGTAAACACTCAGTTCCATTCAGTTGCCCAGACTCTTACCCCGTAAGGGATTATGGGGTCATTAAAAGGAGATGAAGATGATATATCTCTATAATTATATCTCCCAAAGATTTTTCAAAAGAGCTTAAATTATTTGATTTCCATTATTTCAGTAATTAACAGTTCTGGAGGTAGAAGAGTCCTTTTGCTTTACAGATACTGAGTTGACTTAAGAATATTCATAATGAACTAGATTGACTGCTCAATCTCCCCTGTGATTCAGAAACTATATTTGTATCCATCGTGATTAATGTGCTAAGTTTATATTCATTTTAATTAATAACTCTTTTATTAACAATAAAGGCAAAACAGCCTAAACAGAACTTCATTGGAAACTCCACATGCTATTACTGAAATTTAAAAGGACATGTTTTCTTGGTGTGCATCAGATACAATTCTCCAGATCTCAGTCGCAACCGTCATGTCTGTTGTTTTGCTTCCTGCTGATTCAAGAAATTGCTCATATAGCTGCCACCTGCCAACCCCGATTTAAATTTTTTTGTACCCTTGGTACAAAACATATACAGATTTTTCTGTCCCCATCAACATACCTTGGACCACTCCCCATGGATATTGTCTAGCTTTGGCCATTTTATTGCCAATCTTCACTTCTTCGGTGCTGCCAACCACGGCAAATGGGAGATGGACCTGAAATTAGGGTGATATAAAGAGGTTAGGTATTCCCAAAACTGAATTAAAGCAAACCCCACTCCCTTCTGGCACTGATGTTACCAAGTTGGGTGATGAAATGTTTGCAAGAAAACAACCAAGCTCAGAGAGCCCCAAAGAGCCCCACAGGGATAATGAAAGGTACCCTCATTGCTGGGGCTGATCACCTGGGCATGGAGTGACAGGTTCTGCGCCACTCTTGAGTGATCCACTTGGTTGCTGTTTTTTAAATATTTTTTATTAAGGATATTTCATCATTCACACCACATTTCCAATCTTTACAGTGCTTCAGTATCGGTATCACTCATAATTACATAATAGTATTTTCATTTTTCTTCCGCTTATATACATTACTGTTTTTGTATCAATATTCTTACATATATATTTTACCTTTCCACAAATACAAATACATATATTTCCCTTTCACCTTACTATCACTCTTAAGTAACCTTTATGTATAATATTTACATCTATTCTCTAATCATTCGTACCATGTGTCCCAGATCTTGTAGTATTCCGTTTCTCCTTTGTCTTTTAGTTTCATAGTTAATCTATCCATCTCTGCACAATCAAGCACCTTTTTTATCACCATACGTCTGAGGGAGTGTTGTCCTGTTTCCAATTTTGTGCATAGATAATTTTAGCCACAGTTGTTATGTGGAGTGTAATAAACTGAATTTTCTTACTTAAGTTTCCTTTTGTTATACCTAGTAGAAATAATTTCGGTTTCAACTCAATTTTTTGTTTCATAACTTCCTCTATTTCCTTATTTTAATCCAATGTGTTTCCTGGCTTCTATACACGTCCACCACATATAAAAAAATGTACCTTGTTTGTGCTTACATCTCCAACAATGCCACTTTGAAGGAGCCCAACTCAGTTGTGAAAAGCCAAGCTACTTATTTCCTTTCGCCAAGAAACACTTCCAACCAAACACTAGTCTCCTTTTCTGCCCTTGACCCACACCTGCATCTAGACATTCATTTTGGACCTTTAGAGACTCTCTGAATCCAGGTGAGATGATAGGGGACAGTGCTCATCTCCGTTTCTTAGTCAAGGGAGCCATTATTGACTGAAGACATTTCCATGATCATGTGGCCAGCATGACTAAATGCCGAAACACATGAAACGCCGTCACCTTCCCAACAAAGTGGTACCTATTTATCTACTTGCATTTGCATGCTTTTGAACTGCTAGGTGGACAGGAGCTGGGGCAAGTATAACAGGAGCTCAACCCATCATGCAGTGTCAGCTTTCCAACTGAGAAGCTCAGCGTCGTCAGCTGATGAGTCTTCACGGCCCTGGTTAAAGTGGTTATAGGACAACCCAAAGTTATTCATCTGGGACAGAATTCTTAATAGCTGGGTCATCACTGGAAATTTTAAAGAGATTAAGACAGCCATTTGTCTGAAATGGCATAGGTAACAGATAACAGATAATCAGAGTTGGAAGGGACCTTATAGGTCATCTAGTCTAGCCCCCCGCCCAAGCGGGAGACCCTACACCATTTCTGACAGATGGCAGCTCAGTCTCTTCTTGAAAGCTTCCAGGGATGAAGCTCCCACAACTTCTGAGGGCAACTTCTGTTCCATTGGTTGATTGTTCTCACTGTCAGAAAGTTTCTCCTTATTTCCAGGTTAAATCTCTCCTCGTTCAGTTTCCATCCATTATTCCTTGTCTGACCTTCGGGTGCTTTAGAAAATAGCTCGACCATAAGTGGCACACAGAGCCATTTGTGCTGGCATACGAGCCACAGGCGAACTTACCTCACTGCGCATGTGCGCGCCTCACAGTTGATTTTTTTTTAAGGCTGGTTTGAGGCCTTTTTTGGGCCTCCCAGAGGCTTGGAAAAAGCCTCTGCAAGGCTTTTCAGGACAAATTATAGGCCTGTTTTGTCACTTCCTGTAGTACATATTGCATTCTGGGTGCTGGCAAACAAGTGTGTGCGTTCTGGCGCGCACACAATTTTTGGCACAGGAGCCCAAAAAGGTTAGCCACCACTGGTATAGGGTGTCCTGCCTGAACTGGAGGTTTGATTAGAAGGCCTCAAAGATCCCTTCCAACTATGCTATGCTATGCTATGCTATGCTATGCTATGCTATGCTATGCTATGCTATGCTATGCTATGCTATGCTATTATCTCCAAGGCCTTTTCAACTCTTGTTATCCAGTAGAAAAATCTCACTTTTACTTCAAAGCATTTGTTTAAAAGGTTCAAAGGAGCAGTCCCATGTTTGAGGCAGCTGTTTATTATTATTTTGGAAATGAAAGAGGGAATTCTGCAACCTAATGAATGGCCTCAGACTTGAAAGTGTGGTGTTCTGAATTTGAAGTCATTCAACATTTTGCACAACCACCCAGAGCAAACATGGTGGCTCTGTGTTCTCCTGCCAAAAACAGTTTCCTCTAAGAAAGAGCTGGGTGGAGAAAAAGGCAACATTCAGGACACAGTGCTGGCTTTTTTGGGGGTGTGTGTGTGTGGTGGTGGGGGTTTAAAGCATCTCTGGAATACAGCTGTAGCCTTTGAAGGGGGTGTGTATCAGTGACAGCAGACTTGACATCAAAACAGCTTCTTCCTCCAGAGTTCATTACAACCCTAATTGCATTATGCAGCAATATCTGGAGAGAGTTAATTACAGCACACGCCACCCATGGTCTGTTCCATGGAGAGGAGCAAAGAAGAGCAAAGCCCAAGAAAGAAAAATGGCCTGATGATCTGAAAATGGTTCAACGAGCAATGATCAAACATTTTTCAAGCTATCTTTGCTTGTTTAAAACGATTGCTGACATTTTTAAGAAGTGGATTCTCAAGGCAGAGAATCCACTTCTGAAATGCTTTGCGTTATTCTGTGCGAGAATTACATCTTTTCTAAGAATATCCAAATTAGGATCTATAACATAAATCATAGGACCCCTCCCATACTCGACCCAAAGGAATTCTGTCCCTTCTTTCTTGGAAAAAAAAAAATCTCCTTTCTTCCTTACGCATCCTTCATTCCATTAAACTTTCACATAGCTGTAAATTATCATGGGAAATATGGTCACTGAATATTTCAACTCAACTTTACAAGCAGCAAAAAAAAAAAAAGCCGCTTCATCTGCTGTCCTTCAAAATAACCTAAGTAATATCTGTCCCCAGAAAAGGAAGGATGATGAAAATTTCACTTTTAAATAAGTTCAGAGCTCATTGCTCACTTTTCTTCAGAATATGCTTGTTCAATTTAAACTCTGACAGTCTATAATACAAGTGAGTGTTGACGTTTCGTAGGAAGTCGGTTATGGTGAATTGAAGGAAGTCAAGGCTTGGCCCACACCACACCCTATTTTATAGCCCTCTACTAAAAGAGGAAGGAAAAGAGGATGTAATAAAAAGCGGCAGAGCCTGTCTGCATTCCAGCTAGCCAATGCAATATTTGAGGGAGAATCCACAGATCAGCAATCAGAGGAAGCTGCATGTATATGCATGAGACAGAGAGGAGAAAAGGGAGGGAGGGAGGGAGGAATAGAATGAAGGAACAACAGACCAAGGGAAAAGCACCTGCAACCTTCTTCTTCTCAGTAATAAATACTCTATATCAGGCACAGTATTTGTCAAAAGTCACATTAAAAAAAAAGGAACATTAGAAATTGTAAGCAAATATAAGTTGCAGAAAGATTGAAGGCAAAGGAGGTCCAGGCAGAAGAAGAAGATCAGGGCTTCCAAATCTGAGGGACCGCTTTGGACAAAACTCAACAGCACTTTTTCATGTGGCTGTTGATAAAAATAGGGTCGCCAACATGATCACCAAAGTCAGATGACAGATAGGGCACAAGAAGAAGGAGAAGAGGAGAGGGAGAA